TGGCTCCCTGAGGGCTCAGACTTGTTCTGTGCACCTGATTCTGCACCTCTGACCTGGAAATCCTGGGAAGAAAACAGCAAAAACACTTGGAGAGGGGAAGAAATATGATGGGAGAGTGACAGAACTGCCTTTTATCCATCATTTTCATAAGGTGTGTAGAGACAGGACAAGGGGGAATGGCTTCATACTGACAGGGCAGGGTTTGGAGGGATATTGGGAAGCAATTCTTCCCTGGGAGGGTGGTGAGGCCCTGGCACAGGTTGTCCAGAGAAGCTGTGGCTGCTCCTGAATCCCTGGAAGTGTCCAAGGCCAGCCTGGAGCAACCTGGGCTAGTGGAAGGTGTCCCTGCCCATGGCAGGGGGTGGAACTGGATAGGCTTTAAGGTCCCTTCCAACCCAAGCCATTCCATGATTCTGTGGCTTTCCACACCTGTGCCGAGCAAAATTCAGAGTCACCTCCGCAGCATCTAAATTAATAAACTTTATTAATAGAGAAAATACAGTTTGCATCAAAGCCGTGAAAAAACAACCAAAAAAACCCCGTTGGGACCCAGGGAATTCAACACACAGACATCACACACATCCATGGGGACATCCATGGGGACATCTCCAAAGGCTACTGCATCTCCTCCTCCCTCTGTGCCCTGTACTCCTTCATGCTCCTCTGCAACAAGAGCACAGGACCAAAGTCAGCAGCGTGTCCCTGAGCGACTCGTGCAGCCCAGTGCCACCCCCCTCTCTGCCTGGAGCCTGGAAAGGCTGGGAAGCTCTGACAGAGCTCCAGGGACTTTTGGAAATGACTGATTTTCACAGTCCCTCCAAGGGAAAGGAAGCCAGGCGGAGGATGCCCAAGGAAACCATCAGGTGTCCATGGCAAAGGCGCCTCCAGCACAGGCCTCGGGGACAGAAACAGGACCCAGAGATGGGAAAGGCTCCTGAGCTCCTCAGGAATGGTCTCACCTCAAAGGTGCTGAGCACGTGCTGGCAAACAGCCATCAGGTCATTGAGCCCCTTCCGGAACGGCTCCAC